GCAACAGTTGCAGGAGCAGCGGCAGCGGAAGTAGTAAAAGAGGTGATGGTAGTGGTGGTGGTGGTGGTGGTGGTAGTAGTAGTAGTAGTAAGTAGTAGTAGTAGTAGTAGTAGTAGTAGTAGTAGTAGTAGTAGTAGTAGTAGTAGTAGTAGTAATAGTAGTAGTAGTAGTAGTAGTAGTAGTAGTAGTAGTAGTAGTAGTAGTAGTAGTAGTAAATTAAAAATGGAAGAGGAAGACAAAGAGGAGGAGGAGGATGATGACAACAACGACGATGACGAAAAGAGACATCCCGACCAAAGCGAAATAGAACATTTATTCGCTAGTGACAGAAAACAATTAGAATAAAACAAAACTACTCGTTCTTGAATTTATTTAGAAGATACTAATGCCACAAGTAAGATGTGTCCAAAAGCAAAGTACCTTTATAAGGAACCGGGAGACTAGAGACTCGTGTGCGCATAATCTGTTTAATCTGTTCCAGGGATGTTTTCTTTGTTTTTGTCCTTTCAATTCTGATGTAGGGGATTCTGAAAAAAAAAAGTTCAAAAATATCAGTAGAAAAAGGTATATTTTATATATATATATACAAGCTGTACCTGGCCACGCGTTGATGTGGCATAGTTTGGCTAAATGGAAATAAAAGAAAATAGAATTCGCACGTGTCTAATACAATCATTGTCTGCTAAGATATAGAGATAATCTTTAACCCCCCCCCCCCACCCCACCACAACTAAATCCACCTACTACTCTCTCCCTCATCAAAGGTTTTTTGGAAAAGAAAGACAATGGTAATCGCACGTGTCTAATATAGTTAATGTCGCAATCATTCTCTGCACAGATATAGAGATAGTCTGGTTTTCCAACTTTAGAACACGCACCATATGATTGTGTCTTTATATTAGTGGTCGTTTAAATGGTGTTATTAGCACAGTAACAAAAGTGGGTATTTGGTTATCACATGCTAAAGCTGTGTGTATTTTTATAGGAGACGGAAGTAAAGCTACAACTGTACTTGTAAATAACAAAGTAAGTCGTAAAAAATAGAATAGCGGAGGTAGCATTAGTAAAATATAAACAAATTAAGTAATGAGAACTTGAAAATCACGTGTGAAACTCTTTAAGTTCTCTTAAATTTTAGTCATTACCCCCCCCCCCCCTCCCCTCCTCTACCGACTACTGCTCTCTCCCTCTTCGAAAGATTTGAAAATCATCACCTGGCGATATTTTGTTGTTGTTGTAACTAACATTGACATCCCAGTCCATCCAGACTAAAATGGGGAGCAGGAATTGTAATATGTAGTGAATGGGGCTTGTGTAATATTTACCACATCATCTTTCAAGTACCAGTACAACTACTACCACCACCACCACCACCACAGTAGCTAAAACAATGTCACTGCTATCTGTTTTATCATCGGAGTAGACAGGGAGTCGTTAGCCAGAAGATTTGGTGCCGCATGGCTAGTGCTGTCGCCACAGACTGGTAAGGTTAGGATGTATAATTTCGCTTCCCGACAGAAGAACGCCATAACCTTACCGGCGGTCTCCACATGAGAGCACTACGGTGTAACAGCCCAACCACAACTATTACTACTTCTGCTACTTTGAGTGGGTAAAGCAGTAACTGTGACTTAAAGCTCTCTCAGTTAATAGATCCCCCCCCCCCCCCTAAATCCACCGACAACTCTTTTCCTCATTGAAGTAGTTGGGAGAAAAAACAACATTTGAAAAGCAAATGAACAAAGGGAAAAAAACACCATAATTAGGAAATGAACGCTATGGTAAACAGCACAGCTTAAAATTCCAACGCAGATGAAATAATTAAATCTAAACGAAAATAAATGTAAGGAAAGCTATGAAATGTCAGCGTAACCATGCAATCGCAAAGTTTAAAAATGAAATCATAAGTATGTGAAATAGTCAAATTTAATTATAAACTGGTTTATCCACATACCTGTCCTTTTTTTTTTTTTTTTTTTTTTTTTTTTTTTTTTTTTTTTTTTTTAGTATTAATGGCCACATGGCTAGTGCTGTAACCACAACAGAGCAGATGAGGATATTATTTTAGTCCGGGGTAAAAAAAATTAACTACTGCGGATTTGAACCCTGGTCTCCCGCACAGGGACCCAGTGTTCTAACCATTCGACCAAGCAGCCACTTAATCAGATCAACGAAAAGAGAACTTAACTATTAGATATGTGTGTCCCTACTACTGTGTCCCGATTATAACACAACTCAAAACCGCAGGTAATTGTTTTCTCGTAGACAGATACTCCAGATATATTAATGAAACGGCACAACAATAGAAATCGCACGTGTCTAACACGGTTAATGAAGTTAATGTCGCAGTCAATGTCTGAGCCGACGTCGAGATAGTCCTTGATGCCCCCCCCCCCCCCAATCAAAGATTGTTTGAAAAAAAAAGAAAATAGAAATCGTGTTTAATATGGTTATTGTGGCAAATATAGAGATAGTCTTGTTTGCTGTACCACGACCTACTCTATGTATTAGAGAAGGCGTTGGCTGCACGTAACTCACCGGCGAATGGCGGAAGTCTTGCGTTTTGACTACGGAGCATGCTCAATTACTAACGTGGCTATAATTAGAAATCACTAAAATTATAAATATTAGTTTCAAATATTATGGCTTAAATTGTGGTCACCTATCTCTAACAGTGACAGGTTGAATTTCAAACCATGATGGTTCAACATCCGGTATCAAAACAAACATATCCTGAAAATTTCAGCTAAATCAGTTCAGTAGTTTCCGAGTCTATAAGGGGCAAACAAACACACAATCATTGATTTTTATATATATAGATAGTCTGGTTTTTCAACTTTAGAACACGCACCATATAATTGTGTCTTTATATTAGTGGTCGTTTAAATGGTGCTATTAGCACAGTAACAAAAGTAGTTATTTTGGTTATCACATGCTAAAGCTGTTTGTATTTTTATAGGAGACGTAAGTAAAGCTACTACTGTACTTGTAAATAACAAAGTAAGTCGTACAAAAATTAGAATAGTGAAGGTAGCGTTAGTAAAATATAAACAATTTAGGTAAGTAATGAGAACTTAAAAATCATGTGTAAAGCTCTTCAAGTTCTCTTAATTTCAGTCATTACCCTCTCCCCTCCCCTCTTCCAACGACTACTGCTCTCTCCCTCTTCGAAGGATTGAAAAATCATCACCTGGCGATATTCTTTTTGCTGTAACTGACATTACCATCCCTGTCCATCCGGACTAAATTGGGAGCAGGAATTGTAATAGGTAGTGAGTGGGGCTAATGTAATATTTACCACATCATTCTTCCAGTACCAGTACAACTACTACCACGACCACCACCACAGTAGCTAAAATAATGTCACTGCTATCTGTTTTACCATCGAAGTAGACAGGGAGTCGTGAGCCAGAAGATTTGGCGCCGCATGGCTAGTGCTGTCGCCTCGGACTGGTCAGGTTAGGATGTATGATTTCGCTCCCCGACAGAAGAATGCCATAACCTTACTGGCGGTCTTCACATGAGAGCACTACGGTGTAACCGCCCAACCACAACTACTACTGCTGCTGCTACTTTGAGTGGGTAAAGCAGTTACTGTGACTTAAAGCTCTCTCAGTAATCAGTTCCCCCCCCCCTCCCCCGCCAAAATTCACCGGCTACTCTTTCCCTAATCGAAGTAGTTGAGAGGGGGAAAAAACCAATTGAAAAGCAATTAAAACAGGAAAAATACACCAGAATTAGGAAATGAACGCTATGGTAAACAGCACAGCTTAAAATTCCAAAGCAGATGAAATAATTAAATGTAAATGAAAATAAATGGAAAGCTTTGAAATTTCAGCGTAACCATGCAATCGAAAAGTTTAAAATGAAATCATAAGTATGTGAAATAGTCAAATTTAATTATCAACTGGTTTACCCACAAACCTGCCTTGTTTTGTTTTTTTTAAATATATATCATTAGGGCCATATGGCTAGGGCTGTCGCCGCGACAGTGCAGGTGAGGATTTTATTTTAGAGTTGAGTAAAAAAAAAACTACTGCGGATTTGAACCCTGGTCTCCCTCTCAAGAGCCGAGTGTTCTAACCATTCGACCAAGCAACCACTCGATCGGAATAACGAAAAGAGAACATAACTATTTTAGATGTGTCCCTACTGCAGCGTCCCGATTATAACACATTTCAAAAAAGCAGGCAATTGTTTTCTCATAGACAGATATTCCAAATATATTAATGAAACGGCACAACAAAAGAAATCGCAGGTGTCTAACACGGTTGATGTCGCAGTCAATGTCTGCACAGACGTCGAGATAGTCCCTGATGCCCCCCCCCCCCCCCCCTCTTTTTCCCTACCAATCTATCGGCTACTTTTCAACTCATCGAAGGATGTTTAAAAAAAAACAGAAAATAGAAATCGTGTCTAATATAGTTATTGTGGCAATCACTGCCTGCACAGATATAGATATAGTCTTGTTTGCTGTACCACGACCTACTCTATGTATTAGAGAAGGCGTTGGCTGCACGGCGCATGCGCAAAAACTAACGTGGCTATAATTAGAAATCACTAAAATTATAAATATTAGTTTCGAATATTATGGCTTAAATTGTGGTCACCTATCTCTAACAGTGACAGGTTGAATTTCAAACCATGATGGTTCAACATCCGGTATCAAAACAAACATATCCTGAAAATTTCAGCTAAATCGGTTCAGTAGTTTCCGATTCTATAGGGAGCAAACAAACACACAAACATTGATTTTTATATATTCGCCGATGAGTTACGTGCAGCCAACGCCTTCTCTAATACATGGTACAGCAAACAAGACTATCTCTATATTTGCCACAATAACCATATTAAACACGATTTATATTTTCTGTTTTTTTTAAACAACCTTCGATTGGGGGGAGGGGGGGGGGCATCAAGGACTATCTCGACGTCGGCGTAGACATTGACTGCGACATTAACTTCATTAACCGTGTTAGACACGTGCGATTTCTATTGTTGTGCCGTTTCATTAATATATCTGGAGTATCTGTCTACGAGAAAACAATTGCCTGCGGTTTTGAGTTGTGTTATAATCCGGACACAGTAGTAGGGACACACATCTCTAATAGTTAAGTTCTCATTTCGTTGATCCGATTAAGTGGCTTCTTGGTCGAATGGTTAGAACACTGGGTCCCTGTGCGGGAGACCAGGGTTCGAATCCGCAGTAGTTAATTTTTTTTTACCCCGGACTAAAATAACATCCTCATCTGCTCTGTTGTGGTTACAGCACTAGCCATGTGGCCATTAATACTAAAAAAAAAAAAAAAGGACAGGAATGTGGGTAAACCAGTTTATAATTAAATTTGACTATTTCGCATACTTATGATTTCATTTTTAAACTTTGCGATTGCATGGTTACGCTGACATTTCATAGCTTTCCTTACATTTATTTTCGTTTAGATTTAATTATTTCATCTGCGTTGGAATTTTAAGCTGTGCTGTTTACCATAGCGTTCATTTCCTAATTATGGTGTTTTTTTCCTGTGTTCATTTGCTTTTCAAGTTTTTTTTCTTCTCCCAACTACTTTAAATGAGAAAAAGAGTTGTCAGTGAATTTGGGGGGGGGGGGGGGGGGGGGGCAATCTATTAACTGAGAGAGCTTTAAGTCACAGTAACTGCTTTACCCACTCAAAGTAGCAGCAACAGTAATAGTTGTGGTTGGGCTGTTACACCGTAGTGCGCTCATGTGGAGACCGCCGGTAAGGTTATGGCGTTCTTCTGTCGGAAAGCGAAATTATACATCCTAACCTGACCAGTCTGTGGCGACAGCACTAGCCATGCGGCACCAAATCTTCTGGCTCACGACTTCCTGTCTACTCCGATGGTAAAACAGATAGCAGTGACATTGTTTTAGCTGCTGTGGTGGTGGTGGTCGTGGTAGTAGTTGTACCGGTACTTGAAAGATGATGTGGTAAATATTACACAAGCCCCATTCACTACCTATTACAATTCCTGCTCCCCATTTTAGTCTGGATGGACTGGGATGTCAATGTTAGTTACAACAACAACAAAATATCGCCAGGTGATGATTTTCAAATCTTTCGAAGAGGGAGAGAGCAATAGTTGGTAGAAGAGGGGAGGAGAGAGGGTAATGACTAAAATTTAAGAGAACTTAAAGAGCTTCACACGTGATTTTTCACGTTCTCATTACTTAATTTGTTTATATTTTACTAATGCTACCTCCGCTATTCTATTTTTTTACGACTTAATTTGTTATTTACAAGTACAATTGTAGCTTTACTTCCGTCTCCTATAAAATACACACAGCTTTAGCATGTGATAACCAAATACCCACTTTTGTTACTGTGCTAATAACACCATTTAAACGACCACTAATATAAAGACACAATTATATGGTGCGTGTTCTAAAGTTGGAAAACCAGACTATCTCTATATCTGTGCAGAGAATGATTGCGACATTAACTATATTAGACACGTGCGATTACCATTGTCTTTCTTTTCCAAAAACCTTTGATGAGGGAGAGAGTAGTAGGTGGATTTAGTTGTGGTGGGGTGGGGGGGGGGGTCAAAGATTATCTCTATATCTTAGCAGACAATGATTGTATAAAACACGTGCGAATTCTATTTTCTTTTATTTCCTTTTAGCCAAACTATGCCACAGCAACGCGTGGCCGGGTACAGCTAGTATATATATATATATATATATATATATATATATATATATATATATATATATATATGTATATGTATATGCGTACATATACATACATACAACATTGTTAACGGAAATCACAAGGAAAACATAGCAACCTACTATGCATGCATCAAGAGGCTTTTAGCAAGGGTTATAATAGCTACTGCTGACTTTACTCTCGTTACTGTTTGTATGAACCACAATTTATGGCGATATAGGACAGGATGTCACTAGAAAGAAAGGGCACGTGGCTAGTGAAGTCGGCATGAATTTTGGAGGTTAAGAGTTAAAAAAATTTTTTGACAATAACAAGCTTTTACTGAGTAATCGAACCCAAGCCTTTCGTACGAGACCGCAGTGTTTTCCATTGGGCTAGTCAAGCTTTTACTCCCTTTTAAAAACAAAAACAATGTTAGCTGAAAACACCGAAAAATCTTAAACTCAGCCAATCACTCCTATACTCACTTTTATTTCAAGTTTAAAAAAATGTTAGCTAAAAAAAAATACCACCAATCGTAAACAAAATAATTAGTGTCATTATGCAATTAACAAGGCATAAATCCCTCCAGTTCTGCCTTGAAAAATTATAAACGTCTCTCTCTCTCTCTCTCTCTCTCTCTCTCTCTCTCTCTCTTTCTCTCTCTCTCTCTCTCTCTCTCTCTCTCTCTCTCTCTCTCTCTCTCTCTCTCTCTCTCTCTCTCTCTTTCTTTTCTCCAAAGTCGTTTGTGGTGGCGCCCCTGTATACGGCCGTGACGCAGCAGGTCCTTCCCTCTCCTCAAGGTATGCGGGTAAGTCGCTCGGTCAGCTGGTAATTTCCCCACTTCTTGCAACTTTATGCCCAGGGTCTCCTTGCTAGCCTGGTTATTTAGAAGTGCCGAAATATAACACTTGCTTGCGTGCCCAATTTGTAAGCTGATGAAACCTACTGACCAATCAGAACCTTCGAATATGTATTCATAATATCAGACTGGTTGTCCGATAAGTCTCTTCTCTTCGGTCCTTAACACCATGAAAAGACACCCATCATTCTGTCGTACGTTCTCCTTTTTACCATAGCTCAAACCATCCCTGAGCAGTCGACCTTCGCTACCATGACACAGATGATGATGATGACGGCGCTCAAGTCGCCCTTTAGCATATATCCCCGGTCATCAAGCCACCTTCCTAGGTTTCTTTATCTAATCCCTAAACCCCCCCCCCCCTCTGCCGGCTGTCACTGCTGCCTATGTCTATTTTCATATCCCCTAACTTGTTTCGTTTTGAAACATATATATGTGCAGAATTACAGTATTCTTCTCGGTCACGAGACGCTAAGAATACTACTCTAATATGAAAGTTTAAACGCCCTACTTTCCTTTTGCAGTGATGGCAAAAGAGTACTTAAGTAGGTAAATTTACTCCACGAGGACATCACACAAGCGATAAACACCTGGTGACACATAGTGCCACTATGCGGATAAGGTTCAGTCGTTGAGAGGTCCCTGAAACCCTGTTCAACCGTTAGGCTATATTTAAGACACGGGTATATTGGGGGTGGGGGAGGGGGGGGGTCGCTGTGGCGGAGCGGGTAGATGCTCGCCGCGGATCGGAAGGTTGTGGTTTTTTTTTTTTTTTCAAAATGACCTTGGCTCCCAGGTTGACCCAGCCTTGAGTGGTTACCGAGTGCAGTCCTGGGAAGTAGAGGCGGCCGGTGTGATGCTGACCACATCACCCACCTTGTGCAGATTGGTCTAAAAAATATCGGTCTAGCCCTATTTGCCCTATGCGCCTAAAGGCGTGGAAAAGGGTCCTTTACCTTTATTACATTTGGGGACCCCGATAAAAGCCAGGGTGGGTTTAAAAAACTAAAAATTGCATTCCACATGGGAACGGCAGTAATAAGAATGGCAAAAAAGATTTTAACTTTCAAGTTGTTTTCTAATTTTGCTCAATGGGATCTGCGTACTATTTGATCCTTGCATGGCTAAAGTACGTCTCTTCATTAATTTACTCACACTATCTCAAAGACACGTTTGGTGACTGCATACTCCTTGTCATAAATCCCATTTGTACAGTGGGCACCGATAAGACCATTTGGGTGCATGAGCTCGGGGTTGTCGGCGTCGATACACATGATCACCACACGAACCACCTGGTCTTTCAAGTTGGTCAACTGATGGAGAAAACAATACAGCATTTCAATACTGAGATGGACAGTGAAAGAGGCCATACCCACAAAGCCACTTCACCAGCCCCCAGCACCTCCCCCCCCCCCCTTTCTTTCCGCCCCCGTCACTTATTTTGAGCATACGTTAGTGACTAGTATCGTCACTGATGCCAAGCATGCGTTAGTGACTAGTATTGTCACTGATGTCGAGCATGCGTTAGTGACTAGTATTGTCACTGATGTCAAGCATGCGTTAGTGACTAGTATTGTCACTGATGTCGAGCATGTGTTAGTGACTGGTATCGTCACTGATGTCGAGCATGTATTAGTGACTAGCATTGTCACTGATGTCGAGCATGTGTTAGTGACTAGTATTGTCACTGATGTCGAGCATGTGTTAGTGACTAGTATTGTCACTGATGTCGAGCATGTGTTAGTGACTAGTATTGTCACTGATGTCGAGCATGTGTTAGTGACTAGTATTGTCACTGATGTCGAGCATGTGTTAGTGAATAGTATTGTCACTGATGTCAAGCATGCGTTAGTAACTGGTATCGTCACTGATGTCGAGCATGCGTTAGTAACTGGTATTGTCACTGATGTCGAGCATGTGTTAGTGACTAGTATTGTCACTGATGTCGAGCATGTGTTAGTGACTAGTATTGTCACTGATGTCGAGCATGTGTTAGTGACTAGTATTGTCACTGATGTCGAGCATGTGTGTTAGTGACTATAGTATTGTCACTGATGTCAAGCATGCGTTAGTAACTGGTATTGTCACTGATGTCGAGCATGCGTTAGTAACTGGTATCGTCACTGATGTCGAGCATGCGTTAGTAACTGGTATCGTCACTGATGTCGAGCATGCGTTAGTAACTGGTATCGTCACTGATGTCGAGCATGCGTTAGTGACTGGTATCGTCACTGATGTCGAGCATATGCTAGTGACTGGTATCTTTACTGATGTCGAGCATATGTTAGTTGACTAGTATCGTCAGCACTGATGTCAAGCATGCGTTAGTGACTAGTATCGTCACTGATGTCAAGCATGCGTTAGTGACTAGTATCGTCACTGATGTCAAGCATGCGTTAGTGACTAGTATCGTCACTGATGTCAAGCATGCGTTAGTGACTAGTATTGTCACTGATGTCGAGCATGCGTTAGTGACTAGTATTGTCACTGATGTCGAGCATGTGTTAGTGACTGGTATCGTCACTGATAGTCGAGCATGTAGTGACTGGCATTGTCACTGATGGTCGAGCATGTGTTGACTGACTAACTATTGTCCACTGATGTCGAGCATGTTTTAGTGACTAGTATTGTCACTGATGTCGAGCATGTGTTAGTGACTAGTATTGTCCACTGATGTCGAGCATGTGTTAGTGACTAGTAATTGTCACTGATGTCGAGCATGTGTTAGTGAATAGTATTGTCACTGATGTCAAGCATGCGTTAGTAACTGGTATCGTCACTGATGTCGAGCATGCGTTAGTAAACTGGTATCGTCACTGATGTCGAGCATGTGTTAGTGAACTAGTATTGTCACTGATGTCGAGCATGTCGTCACTGATGTCGAGCATGTGTTAGTGACTTAGTATTGTCACTGATGTCGAGCATGTGTTAGTGAATAGTATTGTCACTGATGTCGAGTAACTGTAGCATGCGTTAGTATGCGTTCGAGTGCGTTAGTAGCTGGTATCGTGATGTCGAGCATGCGTTAGTACTGGTATCGTCACTGATGTCGAGCATGCGTTAGTAACTGGTATCGTCACTGATGTCGAGCATATGCTAGTGACTGGTATCGTCACTGATGTCGAGCATATGCTAGTGACTGGTATCTTTACTGATGTCGAGCATATGTTAGTGACTAGTATCGTCACTGATGTCAAGCATGCGTTAGTGACTAGTATCGTCACTGATGTCAAGCATGCGTTAGTGACTAGTATCGTCACTGATGTCAAGCATGCGTTAGTGACTAGTATCGTCACTGATGTCAAGCATGCGTTAGTGACTAGTATTGTCACTGATGTCGAGCATGCGTTAGTGACTAGTATTGTCACTGATGTCAAGCATGCGTTAGTGACTAGTATTGTCACTGATGTCGAGCATGTGTTAGTGACTGGTATCGTCACTGATGTCGAGCATGTATTAGTGACTAGCATTGTCACTGATGTCGAGCATGTGTTAGTGACTAGTATTGTCACTGATGTCGAGCATGTGTTAGTGACTAGTATTGTCACTGATGTCGAGCATGTGTTAGTGACTAGTATTGTCACTGATGTCGAGCATGTGTTAGTGACTAGTATTGTCACTAATGTCGAGCATGTGTTAGTGAATAGTATTGTCACTGATGTCAAGCATGCGTTAGTAACTGGTATCGTCACTGATGTCGAGCATGCGTTAGTAACTGGTATTGTCACTGATGTCGAGCATGTGTTAGTGACTAGTATTGTCACTGATGTCGAGCATGTGTTAGTGACTAGTATTGTCACTGATGTCGAGCATGTGTTAGTGACTAGTATTGTCACTGATGTCGAGCATGTGTTAGTGACTAGTATTGTCACTGATGTCGAGCATGTGTTAGTGAATAGTATTGTCACTGATGTCAAGCATGCGTTAGTAACTGGTATCGTCACTGATGTCGAGCATGCGTTAGTAACTGGTATCGTCACTGATGTCGAGCATGCGTTAGTAACTGGTATCGTCACTGATGTCGAGCATGCGTTAGTAACTGGTATCGTCACTGATGTCGAGCATATGCTAGTGACTGGTATCGTCACTGATGTCGAGCATATGCTAGTGACTGGTATCTTTACTGATGTCGAGCATATGTTAGTGACTAGTATCGTCACTGATGTCAAGCATGCGTTAGTGACTAGTATTGTCACTGATGTCGAGCATGCGTTAGTGACTAGTATTGTCACTGATGTCAAGCATGCTTTAGTGACTAGTATTGTCACTGATGTCGAGCATGTGTTAGTGACTGGTATCGTCACTGATGTCGAGCATGTATTAGTGACTAGCATTGTCACTGATGTCAAGCATGTGTTAGTGACTAGTATTGTCACTGATGTCGAGCATGTGTTAGTGACTAGTATTGTCACTGATGTCGAGCATGTGTTAGTGACTAGTATTGTCACTGATGTCGAGCATGCGTTAGTGACTAGTATTGTCACTGATGTCAAGCGTGCGTTAGTGACTAGTATTGTCACTGATGTCGAGCATGTGTTAGTGACTGGTATCGTCACTGATGTCGAGCATGTATTAGTGACTAGCATTGTCACTGATGTCGAGCATGTGTTAGTGACTAGTATTGTCACTGATGTCGAGCATGTGTTAGTGACTAGTATTGTCACTGATGTCGAGCATGTGTTAGTGACTAGTATTGTCACTGATGTCGTGCATGTGTTAGTGACTAGTATTGTCACTGATGTCGAGCATGTGTTAGTGAATAGTATTGTCACTGATGTCAAGCATGCGTTAGTAACTGGTATCGTCACTGATGTCGAGCATGCGTTAGTAACTGGTATCGTCACTGATGTCGAGCATGCGTTAGTAACTGGTATCGTCACTGATGTCGAGCATGCGTTAGTAACTGGTATCGTCACTGATGTCGAGCATATGCTAGTGACTGGTATCGTCACTGATGTCGAGCATATGCTAGTGACTGGTATCTTCACTGATGTCGAGCATATGTTAGTGACTGGTATCGTCACTGATGTCGAGCATGTGCTAATGACTGGTATCGTCACTGATGTTGAGCATGTGCTAATGACTGGTATCGTCACTGATGTCGAGCATACGTTAGTGATTAGTAATATCACTGATGTCGAGCATGTGTTAGTGACTAGTAACATCACTGATGTCGAGCATGTGTTAATGACTGGTATCGTCACTGATGTCGAGCATGCGTTAGTGATTGGTATCGTCACTGATGTCGTGCATGTGTTAGTGACTGGTATCGTCACTGATGTCGAGCATACGTTAGTGACTGGTATCGTCACTGATGTCGAGCATATGCTAGTGACTGGTATCGTCACTGATGTCGAGCATGTGTTAGTGACTGGTATCGTCACTGATGTCGAGCTTACGTTAGTGACTGGTATCGTCACTGATGTCGAGCATATGCTAGTGACTGGTATCGTCACTGATGTCGAGCATGTGTTAGTGACTAGTAACATCACTGATGTCGAGCATATGCTAGTGACTGGTATCGTCACTGATGTCGAGCATATGCTAATGACTGGTATCGTCACTGATGTCGAGCATATGCTAGTGACTGGAATCGTCACTGATGTCGAGCATATGCTAGTGACTGGTATCGTCACTGATGTCGAGCATACGTTAGTGACTGGTATCGTCACTGATGTCGAGCATATGCTAGTGACTGGTATCGTCACTGATGTCGAGCATGCGTTAGTGACTAGTCCACTCATCAGTCAGACATATCCGTTATGTTATCACAGTCTTTGCACACTGAGCTTTCTCATGCGTGCTCACCCCTCAGCCACTCCAGGTACCTCTACTGAATGTTTCCATCTAATTTTAGTTACAGTATCTGCTGTCTTTATCTCGAATACGGCATAAATCTGCTTCACCAATTGAGTTAGCCTCAGAGATTCAACATAAACCCCCAACCTAGTAAATACAGCGTTGATGATTTCAGCTTTGTCCTTGCTTTTTTCCGTTTGCATTAGTGCAGTACTAGTCAGCTCTTTCATTACCATTTTTTCCTGGGTGTCCTGGTATGTAGAGTTCAGATTACCTGAAGCGATTTTTTTAAGCATGTTCATAGAGTCTAAAATGAAGTGGGACCGCTTGTTCTGCTACCCATGCCAGTGTTCTGGAAGCAGCAGTTATCTTTGTTGTCATGCTTTACGTATATGTCTGGTTTGTTTGTTGTTTGTTTTAGTATCCAGAAGCCATGAGTTGTTAACCCTTAGGCTCGGTATTATGGATATCGCAACCTTTCGGCCTTGATTCCATTGTAAATACTGTAAATCTGGGAGAAATGTGGCTTTTCTGCCTACCTCCGGGAGTGAACCTGGACCACAAGGAGTTTGTCACCCGGTCACCTCGCAATCCGGTTTAGCCAACTACGCTAGAGAGCCGGGCGTATATGCCTGGTAAGCGACGCTATCCTCTTTTATTGATTTGATTTCCCCATCCTTTGTGCCGTGTACACACACGCTGATCTTGACCCGCGCTTCACAGACCCATCTATGCAAATAGCGATCAATCAATGATCAAGCTGACCAATCAGTGCCCTAATTTCGGCATCTATGGTGGCAGGTATCTGACTCCTACAATACCTCCCCCAGTGTTACGGCAACTTTAGACCAGCAGCGGATTTTCTGGCTAGCAAAGCGAAAGCAACGGTAACACTCGTATTGGACAAGGTAGATATTTTAAAGACCATGTATGAATGATTTTTGGCAGAGGACACGAGATTAGATGAAATAAAATGGACAAGATTGTGTGAACGAGGAATTAAGTGTGGATCCGGCAAGGAGGAAGAGATCGGCGTGTGTATAATCAGTGTGCTACAGGAACAGTTAGCGTCTACACCTTACGTCATTTGCTGCCGGAGATGGAGCATCTATGGGTAAGCCCGGTGTGCTATGATGTCGAATTCTAAATCAGTAAATAAAATCAGTAGACTAGGCATGCATGTCTACTGATGTATCCGTCCATTCTTACGACACATCCGTAAACAAAGTGACCCGAGCTAGCAAGTACACATATATTGGCAATGGAGGCTGCGTGGTCTCGAGGTATGGTGTCCACCTTGAGTGCTAGAGGTTCCGGGTTTAATCCCAGGTAAAATAAGGTTAGTTGCGTATCATTTACAGGAAGTTGCAGTACCAACCCCAGCAGCCCCTGGCTGTGCTGTGGTTTCTCTAGTCAAATTTACGTCCAATGCTTTTTGGACGGTCGGTTTCTTGATACCACTGTCGAAACCAACGCAAGACGCATGGTCCGCAGCTGGGATAGAACCCGGCACCCCGGCATTACGAAGCGTTCGCATCGATTTGCCACAGAACTGACAATCCCCGGTAAGGGCTGGGATTTTTTCAAGTGAACGTGGACTTCTAGTAATTCCCCCTGTTTTTTTTTTTTGGGTAGTGAGATCGGACGCCCGTGTGCATTGTTGCGCACGTAAAAAAAAAAAACCTTGGCAGTTGGAAATCGAAAAGGGTAACCTTACGGCGCTGCTAGGGCAAAACACAATTGGAGTTTAAAATCTACCCAAAGTATTTCAGGATCATCGCCTGTGCTACAGAGCCTGTGCACTGTGCTGAGCTTCTTCAGACTCACACTTGAGTTAACAGAAGAACGGAGCACTTATGGGTACTACCCGTGTGCCATTATGTTGATCAGTTGTTCAAACTTCAGAGTGCATATATAAAAATGTACCTTTAATATTACGAAATCCTTGTCTTGATATTTCTTCCCCGGTCTCTCTTCGCCAGCATATCGAAACTTTTGAAATTTGATGCACTTTGTTATTTCCACAGAAGCCATTTCTGTCGCTGCTTGCCCTGTAAGTACAGTTAGGCCTGATGAAAAATATTTCCGAGGGACTGAAAAAGTTTATGTTAGAAACTTTCGCGCTACCTGGATATTTAAATGAATAGTAAATCCCCATTTGGGCCCAAACTGGGTTCATTTTTAGCAAGGGTTCGTCTTATGCTATTTCGCTTTAAGGAAGTTTTACTATATTTCAATTGTCAATATAAGTGGGGAAATTCAGGCTGTAATGGACCGAATGAATGTTAACACACTAGAAGAAACGGCTAAGTTGAACCAATTAGAACTTTAGCTAGTCAGCTAGCTAGTTAGTTAGTTAGTTGGACAGATACGTAGTTATTTAGATAGTTAGTTGGTTAGTCAGTTTAGTAGTTAGTTAGTTAAATAGTTAGTTACAGAGATAGTTACATAGTTAGTTAGTTGAAAAGTTAGTTAATAAGTTAAATAGTTTTTTTTAGTTAGTTAGTTAGTTAGTTAGTTAGTTAGTTAGTTAGTTAGTTAGTTAGTTAGTTAGTTAGTTAGTTAGTTAGTTAGTTAGTTGGTTGGTTAGTTAGTTAGTTAGTTAGTTAGTTAGTTAGTTAGTTAGTTAGTTAGTTAGTTAGTTAGTTAGTTAGTTAGTTAGTTAGTTAGTTAGTTAGTTAGTTAGTTAGTTAGTTAGTTAGTTAGTTAGTTAGTTAGTTAGTTAGTTAGTTAGTTAGTTAGTTAGTTTAGTTAGTTAGTTAGTTAAAAATGTATTTTGTTCGTTAGGTAATTAAAAAGTTAGTAAGTTAGTTGTTTAGTTAGTTATTAGTTAGTTATTAGTTAGTGAGTTTGTTATTTATCCAGTTGGTTGGTTAGTTAGTTAGTCAGTTACTTAGTTAGCTAGCTAGTTAGTTAATTAGTTAGTTAGAAAGTTAGCTGGCTGGCTGGTTATTTAATTAGTTAGCTAGTTAGCTAGCAAACTAGTTAGTTAGTTAGTTGGTTATTTAATCAGTCAATCAGTCCGCCAGTCAGTCAGTTAGTCAAACAGTCGTTTAGTCTAGGTTCCAACATTACTGTAGTGGGTTCACCCCACAGCTCTCTTCCTGTGCTAGTGGAAATCTGCGACCCAAACAAATTTACTTTACAGTCACAGATGAAAACTAGTTGTACCCAGCACAGTTTTACAGTTTGCAAAGTAAAATAGCACAGGGTAGCTGCCAACACTTACAGTCCCACACTATAATTAAAGCTGACTGCTGGTGAAAAAAATTTTAAAAAAAAGAAAGACGGCATTACACCTTAAAGTACAAGCATTCTGAACGTAATCGACCACACGCTATTTTAATGCGGTCGACTAAAAAAAGAGGAAGGGGTTGGGTGGGGTGGGGGGGGGGGGGGGGGGGGGGATTGGTGAGGGAGCACAAAAGAAAAAAAACAGTGCCCTTGAAATCTGCGGATACAAGGAAAAAACATTTCACATGAAATCTCAGCTCCCAGTGGTGCGCCTAGCACTCAGGCCTATAGCTATGCGACGGACGCTTGTGACTCCCTTGTTAGAACTGGGAAATTTGTATCCCTAAAACCCTAGTGTAAGATTTCAACAGCAACAACAACAATAGCAACAACAACGATAACAACAACGAGTTGGTTACCTTTTAACTGGGAACTGACATCTTCTTTTATATCTTTTTTAATTTTCAAAGGAGTGCCGGAACTCATTGTGACATTTGATTGATCTCTGCAACAACAAGGGCAATGAAATTTCGTGAAAACTCTTTTTGTTTAAAAAAAAAACGGGGAGCAGGGTGGGGGGGGGGGGGGGGGAGGGGGGGGGATTATCTTTTATATTATTCAATTAGTTTAGTGACCGATTATCTTTATCGCACCTCGGTCAAGTCAATATGCGCTTGAATCCTGTCTCTATTACCCTCTTCAGTGTGTCGCAACTGACAACACCAGTTATGTGCTGATTTGTTATTCTTTGGCTACCTCATAGTGTGGTAATACCTCCTTAAATGTGAAATTCTTTGAGTACGCGATTCAACGTATATCTGGGTAAGCATGGTGCCAGGGTGGCACGATTGCTGATATGCATGTCTGGCCACACGAAGATCATAGAATCGAAGACTCATGTCGACAGTTTTAGAAAGCCGTTTAGCGGATAGAGAACTAGCCATATGGGATAAAATCAGATGCACTGCATTCGATCCTCCTGACTCTAAAGTTTAAACTGATCTGCAAGCATAGTTCAAAGAGCATCTAATCTTCTTCTTCTTCTTTCTTCTTCTTCTTCTTCTTCTTCTTCTTCTTCTTCTTCTTCTTCTTCTTCTTCTTCTTCTTCTTCTTCTTCTTCTTCTTCTTCTTCTTCTTCTTCTTCTGTTTTCTTCTTCATCTTCCTCTGCTTCTTCTTCTTCTTTTGCCTTTTATCCCCAATGAAGCATAGGACATCAACCACTTCATGCCAAGTCGTGGCTTTACCCTTTATTATTACATACAGCTCGTCTCATATACCCCCCCCCCCCCCCCCCCATCTTTTTTTAACTTCACTTTTTAGCTCCCTTTTTCATGTAATTTTTGATCTGCCTTTATTTAAGTGCGAAAGCGTTCTAGTTGTATTGTTCTTAGGATTTAGAATAGTGTCAAGAAATGTTAAGGGAAGTAATGCGGCCAACGTGTTGTTTACTGTAAATACTTACGTACATACATACATACATACACACACACAACACACACACAGAGAGTGACAGACACACAGACAGACAGACACACACACATACATACACATACACACACATACATATACATAAATACATACATACATAATACATACAAACATACATACATACATCCATCCATACATCCATACATTCATACATCCATATATATATATATATTGAAGTTTACGATTTAAAACTTATCTGATCATACTAACCCATTTTAGATGTTAGATATAATCATGATTTATTTTTCAGTCAACAACGTTCAAGAGTTCTTACCTCCTTTATGCAGTAGCACTCTAGCATAGCGCTTAAATATAATTCATTATGACTATACAGTGAGCAGTTAAAAAAGGTTATGAAAATTTTGCAGCTAACATTAAAACGGGAAAATTATATTTTGCCTCTTGTAAATTAACAACGGGAAAAATAATTCTATTTTTTGGGATTCCTAGGCTTAAATTAGCAAATGCAGAAAATCCAAACTTAAACGATAATAATTTGTACTGTCAGAAATGCTGCCTCGTAAGCTACAGTCAGGCAAATGCTCAGTTACTTAGCTGGGGAAAAAAAGAATAAAGGGGATTTTCAGTTCTCACTGATTCAGTCTGCAACTAAACTGAGGACATTGCGTACAGTTCCAATTTTGCTAAGAAGAAAAGGGGGTAGTCCCGATTCTTGAATAATTTGAAATGTGGTTTTATTTAAGTAGTTCTAATCAATCATGTCTATCTGTATGGCTGTCTGTCTGTCTGTCTGTTTGTCAATTTATCTGTCTGACTGTCTATGTGACTCAAAAAGCGACTATTCGGATGAACATCCCAGGAGCGAATTCAGGAAACTTTGTTTAACAGTACAGCGCAGTGATACCACTGTTAGGTACCATTATTAGTTTTATTTCATAAAAAGTAAAGTAAAGTAAAGATCCCCTTTCACGCCTTTAGGCGCATCGGGCATATGGGAAGAGCACCCATATTTTTACAGACCAATCGGCACTAGGTGGGTAATGTGGTCAGCATGCATGTCCCAAGGACATGCATCCTGGTACCCATTTAAGGCTGGATCGACCCGCGACGTCGGGTACCATGATAAAACTCCACGCAGCCAGCAGTTGGTTTCGGACGCCACTTGATTACATAGGGTGTGTGTTTAATAACTGTAGACTTGTTTAAATAAATTATTTATGTTGTATCTAAATGTGTGTACTGCGTCATTTTTCAAGCGCCATGTAACCTTTAATTAAGAATTTAACTGCTATATACGGTAAGATCAGTCATCCCTGTGTGGGAGACAATTTTTCGTTATGTGTGGCCCCAACCCTGGCTTCTGCCGGGGGTCCTGAATATATCGATGGGGCATAGATATGGCCTAGCCATAGATATGGCCTAACGGCTAAAAGAGGTTTCTGGGAACTTTCCACAGGTGATCCTCATCCGGATTGTAGCACTTTGTGTCACCGGGTATATATCGCTTGTGTGATGTCCTGGTGGGGGACAACTACCTACCTACCTTTATACCGGTGTTTTCCCTGGGAAATAGAGGTGGTCGACGTGATGTTGACTATATAACCTACCGAATGCTGACTGGCCTATAAAATAAAGGTCTAGCTGCATATGCTCAGTATACCTAAAGGTGTATAAAAAGGTCCTTTACTTTTGCTTACTTATGTACCAGCCTTTACTGATCTGAGCTATATTGGTGTTAACTATTGAAGAAAGAGCATTTTTGGTCGAGCTTGTGTTCCTTAAAGGTGGCAGGTATGTGTTCTTTAACGGTGACAGGTATTGGAATGATGTTGTTAAAAACAATTAATGACGTCGTTCCTAATACTCAATTGTCTGATCCTAATACTGTAAGCAGTTTAAGCAGTAGATTGTGAATAGAGCAGTAATGCTAAAAACAGTACCCAAAAAAAGACGGAATTTAGCAGTATTTGTTGCATTAACTTCAAAGACAGTGAAAAAAAAAAATAGGAACAGCAATATTTAAAAAAAAATTGTCATTGAAAAAATGTACACCCCATTTCTGAAACACCTTGTATGTCTAAACAAAGAACATTTCGTAATTCAAAACATGACTATTCGTTGCCACAAAGGTGCCGTACGAGAATAATCATAGAGGTGCTGTCATCGATCCTACAGTATATGAAATGATTTTCCAGCGTCGAAAGTGATCAGTTTATGTCATGGCGATATAGGCTAAGGTTTGGTGCACACAAACCGGTGATTAATAAATAACGGCCAAATCCGTTTACATAAATAGTATTTGGGCATACATTAGTTGACAATGAAAATGTATATCTATTTCCCAGAACTTTCTTTTCCCGTCAAGTCGAGGCAAAAGAGAATTAGTTGCTGTAGGTGTGGATTAGTGTGCGAAATAAAATTAAAATTATACACATGGCAATATGCGTATAAGCGCGCCACTGCCTCTTTTAAATTTCATATAGTCATACGATTTTTATCGCGAGTCGCCGTCGTCTAGAGGCTGGACGCTCGGCTGCGAATCGGAAGGTCGTGGGTTCGATTCCTGACAAGCGCCTGATTTTTTTTTTCAAAATGGCATTGGCTCCCAGGTCGACTCAGCCTTGAGTGGGTACCAGGTACAATCCTGGGAAGTAAAGGTTGCCGGTGTGTTGCTGACCCTATCACCAACCAGGTTCCGTTTGGTCTATAAAATATGTGTCTAGCCCAACATACCCAATACGCCTGAAAGGCGGTAAAACCTTCCTTTACTTTTACTTCCTTATACAATTTTATCATCATTTAGATCTGAGGCATTTTTTTCCCTTTAAGTATGTAGCAAGACCACCACGGTCCCCTTGAGTATGAAGGATGGAGATACGTTTTGGTCACAACGTGTTCTTAATCCATAAATAAATGCACCTTTACCATATTATTCAGATTTTTAAAAGCAGATGCTCGTGAAAACAACACAGTTTTTGTTTTCTTTAATGAATATTTATTCAACAAATATTGTATTTATAATTAACCTGAAACAACATGTAAATAATGCGAATTATTACAAGTAATATTCCCTCACTATTAAAATTGCTTAATACCCAACAACCCTCGCTTTTTTAAAAAAAAACCACCCCCCCCCCCCCCTTTAAGTTGAAGACCACTGATTTAGATGTTCACCTGTTTGCCGGAAAGTCCTGGATTTGAATCCGGATAATGTAGTATTTTTTTTTTTCAAAACGATCCTGGCTCCAAGTCGACAAGCCTAAAATGGGTACCAGATAAAGTCATGTGAAGTAAAGGCGGCAGCTGTCATGCGAACCATATGATCAATGGAGTGTCGTTTGATCTATACAAATATATACAAGTCTATCGCTGTTTGCCCGACGCTCTAAAATACTTAAAAATGATTTTTTTTTTTAAACAGGGCCAGTGGTTCTTAAACATTGGTGGGGACGGGGGCGGGGTATGTATTAGGCTTTTTATATTACGTAAAATGGACTGCTAAGAGTCTGCACCATTGACAGCAGAGTTGCTGCATCTGCTGTGAAATTGGTGCAAGCTTCGACGATGCTATTGAACGTGCGTCAGTGCTGCGATTTAGATGTGTAATGTAGATTCACCACTTCTTTGGCTTCCTTCCCACAAATATCAGTGATACTGATTCCTGACTATATAAAGTGAAGCGCCTTTTGCTCTGACTTTGACAGTTCTGCGTGAAAAATTATTTGCTCAAATAGCTTGATTTTCTCAGGACACATCAGATTAACAGCAGCCCGCTTACCACCACCTGAAGCGTTAAGCCTTGAATACTGTTTGGAAAACACACTTGGAGTCCTTTTTAGGATTCTTAAGAAGTCTTGACATCTCTTCAGAGATCAAGCTTTTGCTCAGCACATTGATTGCACCGCTATTGACAAGATGGGGAAAACAAAGACATAAGTAAAAGCCGCTACGCCAAAAGAGACACAACCTACCGCTGCAGAAACCCTCGCTACAGACAACCGGAGTCAGGCGGCGGTCACTTAAAGGCCGCTCAGCC